TATATATATATATATATATATATATATATATATATTCAATTATAGTTAGTTGTAATTTAGCTGTTATAAGAAATGTAGTAAACGCATATGTGTGTCATTCTATTTTGCATTAATTAAATTTTCTAATTTAATTCAGATTTTTCTAATTTCATTTTTCAAAATTATATGATCATAAAATAATATTAAATATTTCCTATTTTCCTATTAATTTTATTTCATTATGTTTGATTGTTTAAAAAAAAAATCCAAGTCCAATAACTTTGTTTATTTTCAGATGTAAATGGGATTTGTGTCCCAGATTTTCACTGCATACATATACCATCACAAAAGCTGCTATTCCAGTATACACACCTGAGTCAATATCCAGAATAACTGCTGATGCATTCCACACGTCATCATCATCATCGTCACCTCCCTTCATCACTCACTCAAATATAGTATAATATTATCATTCAAGTTCAAAACATAAATATGACCAGCTCTCGGTTGACACTGTTTGAACCGCCTCACAAATCTGTATCTTTCGATTTTCCTTCTTAGCCTCACATTCAAGAACAATTAATTCAAGAACACAGTTCACTTTTGCACTCAGGATATTGTAAGTCGGTCCACGTACACACGAAACATATCAAAGCACCAACCTTGGCTGGTTAACCAGCTCAGCAACACTTCCACTTTGACAGAGCTTGTGTCCCTTCAGGAAAATGTTTCCTCATATCATTCTCTTCAAAAAATGCTTTAAAAGAGTCACTGAAGCTGTCTGGTGTTTTTATCTATGTTGCCCTGCATAAGTTGCTTAGTAAATGCCAGACTATGGCAATCCCCTGTGACTATCACCCGTCTCTGTTCCTCTCTGCCTGATCTTAAACATGGAGAAGCTGTTTTCTGAGATGCTCTGCAACTTGTTTACACCAAAAGCCCTCACTGCTGTTTATACGGCCCGACTGCACTGCTCAAAATCCAGCAGACAAGCGTCTGGCTCCACATGAGCTTGATAGACTGAAGATGACTGCGTTTCTTGTATAGTCAATGGGGAGGGGGGTGCGTGGCCTCAATTCTATTTATACAACACTGTAAACAGCAGCCTGGCAGCCATTCCTGGGCTTTGCGTCGCAAGCATACTTAGTGAACTTCCATGTGCTTGATGTTTAGGATCTGTGGTCATGTGATCGTAGGTAGCCTGCTGTGATGTAAAGCACACAAATATGAATCTTAAGAATGTGCTTTGGAATGTAGATATGACACTTCTTGAATTGTATAGAGTTTGAAAAGCATATCTAAAATACCGTAATGTAAAACTGAACTCCCTGTTGAGGTCCTCATCACATGCAATGACAGCTATTATAAATAAAGCTACACTGCAGGAAAACCATTGTGCAATAGTAATATTCCCCATGTTCCATATATATCCATGCAAATGGGCCATCATAAAGGGCAAAACGCTGGCAATAGGAAATTAAATCCACACTCCTGCTGCCCAAGTGGTGAGCAGTGATGTAAGTGCGCGCTCTACTTACCATGCCCTTGACCATTATCATAGAACTCAGCTGAAATCCGGGCAGCCTCCTTGCGGTTGCCTTTGATGATGTAGAAGTGCGTGAGTAGATTAAGGGTAATTCTAACAAAAAGTTTGAAGCAGAAGAGGGCCAGGATGGTGAGGTAAACATTGGACAGCTGTGCTGTGAATGGCCTGCATTCCTCAGTGGTCTCTGTCATGGCTCTGTTAAGAATGTTTTGTGGCAGGATAAGCAGAGTGCACTGCTGTAAGCCACCCCAACAGCACCCCCCATGCACTTGGGTCCTTACTGCAGCTCAAGTAAGAGTTGCATATAATTTGTTTTAAAGGAAAAGTTTGGCCAAAATTAAAATTCTGTGTAGTTTTACACCTGTATGTTGTATTTTGTTTCCATGGAACGATAAAGACAGCTCTTATCCAATCAGTGACCACATCTGTCAGTCTCCACTAAAGCCTATAGAAGTAGGCCTAGTCCATACAGTATGACTAGTGTAAATAAATATAATGCAATATATATATATATTAAATATATAGGTGTGTGTGTCTTATGCTCACCAAGTCTGCATACATCCCTACATTCAGTGAAAAATATAAAATTTAATTTGATTTGGTTAATTTAGGCTACAATATGATTGGGTCTTCTTAATTGTTGTGTAGCAGGATAATGACTTTGCATGGCCACAGATCTGGTGTGCTTTATACCTGTGCCAGGGCAATCATCGGGGGGACGACTCGCAACATTGTCCAGAACTCGGATGGACCTTCTCACTGCATTAAAGTGGGTTTTCACCTGCACACAAATAGCCAGTAACCACTTCTGAGTTGAATTCAATAAAATACAAAATACTGAGCTCCTTTTCATGTTTATTTTATCCAAACGAATACAAAAAGCTGTACTGACTGAAATGATGTGCAGCAACTGAAGAAGTAAAGTAATACTATCTACACTTGACTGATATTTTTAACTGAGTAAATTTATTGAAGATATGATGAGAAAGGTTTTAAGGATATATAGCCTATGTAGTAGCATGTGTAACTTAACTATGTAAAACATTACCCAGAATATAAGAAATCTTTTAGAGTCAACCAGTTTATTCAGGGAAAAATGTTGAGGAATGTTGAGTAAAAAGTCATTATTCAATGGAATTGTATGCCCAATATAATAAATATTCACACGAATGTATTTAAATCATAAAATCATTAGTCAGAAGTCACAAAGAGCTTTATTTCCAAGTATGTTTACACACACAAGGAATTTGACTTGGCGATAAGAGCTTCCAGTGCAGAAGAAAGTACAGACATAGTGCAGATATACATGCTAGTGCAGACCCTAGACTGTAAAGGAAATCTTCATCGAAATTCCTTCAAAGTCAAGCACTTTATCTTAATGTATATCTGAGAGGTCAGCTCATCAAGTGCAGATCTTAAGTAGGCAACTTCCCTGTCGCAGAAACGCTCGCTATGCTGGATTAAATTCCTGGCTATCATAACTCAGCGTGATCCAGACAGCCTGACTCTTTTCATTTTTACACTGAGCCTTTAAAGAATCTGACTCCTCAGGGAATAATAATAATAATAGTTCTGTTTGCTTCCCCTAGAGTCTCAGAGGACTGTGAGCAGAGAGTAAGAGTCATGGAGGCTCTCGATATCTGTTCGCCCAAGTTTAGATTATCTTAGGTGGTGGAAGCTGTAAAGAGGGAGAGTGAGAGAATGCTGTGTGATGTTCTGTTGGATCAGACTGTCTTACCTTGTGTAGGAAACATAATTAAAAACGAAGCGCTCTTCGACAGTGGCCTTAACCCCGCTGTCAAGGTACAATTTGCTTTGTGCAGTACCAACACAAAAAAGTCAATATCTCTGTCACATGGTACAGTTGAATGGATGTTTTACACCTTGTTTAAAATATTTATAGAGTGTTATTTTTCAAATAATTCTTCTGTGCTTTTAAAGGTCAAGCAGTTGACAAGTGAACAAATTCACCATGTTGTGAGGATGACACAAGATTTCACACTCCTATTTTATAAGGTATTTTATACTCTCTCCATTTTTCTAGACAATAAATTAGCTATTTAATTTTTTTGTCAGAATTTTTATTTCTGTGCTTTTCAAAACAGTGTAGAAAGAATGGATCCCCGCTTTACAAGCATAAGGTGTATAAATGTCCAAACTGTGGCCAGTGCAGTGGAACTGTCACCGTCTGTCGACTGGGAGACAACAGTAGGATGACATACTACTGTCAGCGCTGTCAAACAGGAGATCCAAGTGAAGGGAACATCAGGTGAGCTGCACCTCCTCTCATAGCTACTAATTCCAATACACACATTTACACACGAGAATCCAATCTAGTTGCTGAATTTTCAATTTGACAGTAAACTTCCAACTGGTAATTGTCTGATTGGATGGCCTTATCAAGGAGGAACGAGCAGTAATGATCATGTGGCCAAACAACAGGAGGAAGAGTGGGCGTGTTCGCTTTGCACTTTAATCAATCGACCAATTAACAAGTATTGTGACGCTTGTATGAGTCCTAGACCGGAAGGTAAGTGTCGGACACACGTATTAGTCCAAAAAGTGAAACTTTTTGAGTCTAGTTCATATCTAACTTGCTCTCTCGTTTCTCAGTACCTAAAGAGCCCACAAAGCTGGAACATTCACCTTTGAGTCGAGACCTGATCCGCTACCCCTGCAACAGTTTTAGCAAACCCCTGCAGGAAATAAAGATGAATCGTAAGACTGCATTTGGGACCACCACTCTAGTCTTAACCAACCTCAGTGCAAAACCTGACTCTGCTTCAAGTCCCGCCATTAACCAGGCACACACACCAGAGACAATGAGGGGTCTGAGCACGCACAGCAACTGGCAGTGGAAGAGTCCCAGTAATGGCGTGAGTGGGATGCAATTCAAAGGCAATGAGCCCTATAAGAGAGAATTTCCAGCAGACCACATTCAGCCTAACAAGAGAATGAAAACCATGAATGGAGCACTTTCTGGAGGAAGCATGCAGCGCATCGGATCTTTAAGGTGAGTGAGTACAGTTAGCGTTTCACCTATGATGAGATGTATTAGTGAAATACTGATATTTTTATTAATTAATATATTCTATAACCAAAGAACACCAGTAAGTATGATTTATAGCAATATTTCAAAATATATAAAATGAAATAGGGCTGTGCAAACAAATTGAATACGATTTTCATGCATATCTCGTCAGTAAAGCCGCTCCTGTGATTAGTAGTAAATCTCCAGCACGTGCGTTCAGATGGAGCGGCATTTGCTACACAGAGCCGTAGTTCATTGACAAGCTACGAAAAATTGCGTTCAAAATCGCAGGTGATTCATTGCCGATTTTGTGTAGCTTGTCAGGTTACAGTTTATCAATGGCATGTCTCTTTGACTAGTGCATCTTTGAGCCTATATTTAGTATAAGTAAAATACTTAAGTAATGCCTAGTTCAGTCATGAAACTCTAACGTGCCGCGATTGGTCGCCACGCAGCCGGTACACCAACCAATCAGCTTCTTCCTTTCAATCTAGACTCTCCTATATATTCCAGTCTGACCAGGTAGCGTTAGACTGCGCGCTCGCTTTGAATCGAAGACTGCGCGCTTGTTAAATTGCAGGCTATGTTCCTAGCATTCATAGTTACGTTGTCCGTTTCAACGCTTGAGAAGCCTATTCGTAATTCCAACAATCAAGCCTCAGCCACACCTCTTCTCCAAGACACCTCCGCTGGTTTCTCCCAGGACTTCCTGCCATGTCATACCCTTGCCTCAGCTGTACCTGCTACATCTACGGGAGCTCCTTTCATCCCACCAGCAGCAGGTATTCCTCAAAGTTTGAGGAACCAAATAATCGCAGGAATTCCGCGCACTTTGCCCCGATGCGCATCCATCCAGCCTGGCCTGCCCTTCTTTTCATCTCGCGGTTCTAGATTAAATAAACTTTTCTCCTATATGGATTCGGCTTCTAAATATATGAGGTTGGGAATGGCTAAATCTACCCTAAAAGCCTACGATTCAGCTTGGTCTTACTTCACTCTTTTCTGTGCTGCTTATACCATTTCTCTTTGTCCAATAAATATAGATGTTGTCTGCGCATACATAGTACACTGTTTTGAATCTCGCAAGCTTCATCCTTTATCAATTAAAGCTTCACTAACAGGTATTCAATTTCACCTACGCTGTAGAGACCTAAATACACCCAGTCTTTTAAACCATCCCTCCATTCGTCTCCTTCAAGGTATTCTCAAAACCTCACCAGATTCTAAAGATAAACGCCTTCCTCTCACACTGCCTCTTTTACATAAGCTATTACGTCATCTAAGACTTGGGGTTTTTGGCTTTCATACTGATCTGCTTTTAGAAACTGCCTTCCTCACTGCTTTTTATGGATTTCTGAGATGAGGGGAATTTACTTGTAATACACTTTCGTTAATCCAGCCAGCGATCTCACTATATCAGATATCACTATGGACTATACATATTTTACTTTAAACCTCAAGCATTCTAAGACTGACCAATGTTATAAAGGAACTTCAATCATTATATCGAGTATTAATTCTGTTTTCTGCCCTTTCTCATCCATGTTTCGTTACCTGAAATCCCGCTGTCATGCCAACCCTGACGATCCCCTATTCCTAACCGCTGACGGCCATCCTATGACGAGATGCTGGTTCGTCAAAAAGCTTAAACTGCTTTGCCAACTCTGCGGTCTCAACCCTGAAGTCTACACGCCTCACTCCTTCAGGATCGGAGCAGCTACTACTGCAGCTCAGAAAGTGCCTTCTGACGATCCCCTATTCCTCACCGCTGACGGCCATCCTATGACGAGATGCTGGTTCGTCAAAAAGCTTAAACTGCTTTGCCAACTCTGCGGTCTCAACCCTGAAGTCTACACGCCTCACTCCTTCAGGATCGGAGCAGCTACTACTGCAGCTGAGCAGCTACTACTGCAGCTCAGAAAGTGCCTTCGGCTACTCTGAAGGAATTGGGACGGTGGACCTCATCAGCCTACGAACGATATATTAGACCTAACGCAAAAGACATTCTAAATGCCCAAAAACTGATGAGCTCTTGATATCTCATCTTATTCTATTTCAGGTGTTGTGTTTGACTGAGGAGGGTATTGCATTGGTATCGACTGTATTGTCAGTATCAACAAATATAGTGGTTTCATTAACAATTGCGGCGAAACTCGTGGTCTATTTGCGCTTCACGTCTGTTCTAGGTTTAAGCCGGTCGGCAGGGTAGCCAAGGCTCACATATTTCAAGTCTTTTAGAGTAAGCCGGTCGGCACGGTAGCCAAGGCACACATTCTAGTAGGTCACTAGATCAAGCCATATGGCATGGTAGCCCGGCACACATAATTAGGGTCATTAGAGTAAGCTGGTCGGCAAGGTAGCCAAGGCACACATTCTAGTAGGTCACTAGATCAAGCCATATGGCATGGTAGCCCGGCACACATAATTAGGGTCATTAGAGTAAGCTGGTCGGCAAGGTAGCCAAGGCACACATTCTAGTAGGTCACTAGATCAAGCCATATGGCATGGTAGCCCGGCACACATAATTAGGGTCATTAGAGTAAGCTGGTCGGCAAGGTAGCCAAGGCACACATTCTAGTAGGTCACTAGATCAAGCCATATGGCATGGTAGCCCGGCACACATAATTAGGGTCATTAGAGTAAGCTGGTCGGCAAGGTAGCCAAGGCACACATTCTAGTAGGTCACTAGATCAAGCCATATGGCATGGTAGCCCGGCACACATAATTAGGGTCATTAGAGTAAGCTGGTCGGCAAGGTAGCCAAGGCACACATTTCTCTTTAGTCCACTAAGATAAGCCGGTCGGCATGGTAGCTGAGGCACACATAGCCAGTACACTTGGGTTCCATAGCTCTACGGAGCAGCAACGAAACCACACACATGTTTTGACGGCAGATCCGCAATCAAGGTCTAAGGACTGCATTCAGTCGCAGCCTATCTGCTATGTTGGGGGAGTCTTATGCTGCCAGGTAGCAGCTAAGTTTCATTCTCTCTGTTTATTGTGGTTAGCAGAGCAGTGTGTTCTGCCTGCCGTCGCAGCAGCAGCAGCGTAGCAGATCTAGTCCGCCAAAACCAAACTATAATATGTACATTCATATTCTAATAAATATTTTGTTTATCTCCGAGAGTTGTCATGACTGAACTGTTAAAATCAGATACTCTAAGACTTTTTCTCAAGTTGTTTTGGAATTGGTGACTTGTAACGTGTAGTGGAGTAATTTTCACTGTAAGGTATCTGTACTTTTACTCAAGTATAGTTTTTAGGTACTCTTTACACCTCTGCTTGTCAGTGAACTACGGCTCTGTGTAGTAAATGCCGCTCCATCTGAACGCACATGCTGGAGATTTACTACTAATCACAGGAGCGGCTTTACTGACGAGATATGCATGAAAATCGTATTCGATTTTTTGCACAGCCCTTCAATGAAAAAATGGATAATTCGCATGATTTATCATGCATAATTTGTATGAACAAAAACATTCTTTAGAATATCTTTTATGTTCAGCAGATGGAAAAAAAATTATGACAATTTCTAGATGATTAATTACTGAGGTTGGATGGCAAAATGTAAAATAAATACAGCTGATTTTGAACAATAGAATCTTATCTCACCACAACTAAGTAGGGGCACACAGAGTAATGACGCATCCCTACCCACAACCCCCTGCTGCAAAAGTCATCACCGACCATATGCACCCTGAGGGTGGTCACTAAGGAAGGAGAAAACAAAGGCAGGCAGTTCTACACCTGCTCTCTGCTCCGAGAGACTCAATGTAACTTCTTTGAGGTAAGAAAGAATGAACTTGAATTAGGAAACCTATATGTAAAATAATTCAATTTTAATTTTTAAATCAATTAGAAATAAATTGAAAGTTTGAAACTTAAACTATATTTAGTGGTTTGTACTCATATCTACTTCTTGCAACAGTGGGCAGACCTGCATTTTCCCATGTGTCATCATGGCAAACAGACTCTTATAAGACAGTTCTGAAACTGGGACCGAATAATGGCCGCAACTTCTATACATACTCAGTTGAAATGGGCAAGCAATGTAATTTCTTCCAGTGGGCTGAGAACGACCCTGGCATCTCAATTCTGCCTGGCTGCTGAATCCAAGAGTTGGACATGACAACCTTTAAATGCTTTTGAAGCAATGCTTGCTTTTTAATGTTGAGATGATGAAAAAGTAAGTGTGTGGTTTATCATAGTAAATCTTTTATATTTTTATATAT